GATATATGTGATGAGATATAGGTAAGGTAACTGGATGAGAAGAAGAACATACAATAGCAAAAGGTGAAGTAGAAAGACCAGCCAATGGTGTGGAAGGAGGCATAGGCATTGAATGAATTGGATGCTTCCTTGAATAAACCTGTAGCTATTGAGGACTAAGTGGAGGAGGATCACTTGCATAATCAAAATGGTGTATAATAGAAAAGGGTGGTGCAGGCAATCTAGCAATGCACTCAAAAAAGGAAATATTTTCAAGAAAAATAACATTACAAGATATGCGAAACCGATGGACTTTGGGATCATAATAGAGGATTCCCTTGTGTTCTAGACTATATCCCATGAAAGCACACATAGCCAATTGAGGAGTTAGCTTAATTCGTTCATTAGGAGGAAGGTGAACAAAACAAGCACATAAAAAAACATGGAGTATGGAAAATTTGGTGGGTGATGAAAGGACTGATAAAGAGATGAGTTTCCAAGAATAAAAGAAAGAACATTGATATGGTAGTGTGGTACACACCAATGTTGGTTGCCTCCAACTAGAAGGTAATGGGGACATGTGAATCATATAAAAGGGATTTCACCATACTAACAATATGATGATTCGTGCTGTCGGATGGCCCATTTTGTTTATGGGTACCTGGACAAGATCTTTGTAATTGAGTACTGTGTTTCAAATAATTTTGGAACTTACCATCCTCACCACCAAAGAACTCCATGCTTTAATCAAACTGCAAGATGCTTATTGTAGATTTAATTTGTGTCATAACCATGGCATAAAAATTCTTAAATGTGGGAAAGATTTCAGATTTCTTACAGAGAAAATTAACCCACGTATATCGTGTACAATCATCAAAAAATAACACAAAGTATCTATAATCCAAGTGTGAAATAACAAGAGACAATGAAAAGGAGTAGAAGCATGCTCAAAAGAAGATGGAAAAGGCAAGACATGACTTTTACTATGACAAGTTGAAAAGGATTTATCAACATTCTTGAATGAAGAATTAGATATAGGCATCCAACCTGAAGAAAACATATAATCCATGTTTTTAGCATTGAATGTGACCAAGGTTCAAAATTTCGTTATGATACGCCCTGTATTGGGCATATCGTATTGTATCTTTGGGGTTCCGATACACCTGTTTACAGGTGTTTTGGGACCCCTCTCTTTTTTTATAAAAAATATGCTTAATACCTCCCCAAAAACCAAATTTTGAAAAAGAAACTAAAAAAAATATAAAAGCATGTGCTTCCAATTACCGATATGCCTTTGCCGATACATAGGGGTATATTGATACTTTGAACCTTGAATGTGACCCAAACGTCTATGCCTAGTGTGACACATTATTAGAAGTAGCAGAGAAAAATGAGAAGCCAAAGAAGAACTTTTATCCTCAAGTTCTAGAGCAAATAACCTTCCAATTCTGCGTTCCTTCCCCCTCAGCTCGCAGTGCACTGGTCCTAGATGAAGCAACAGTCACAAGAAAAAAAGAACATTGTTACCATCATCAAGTTGTCCAACATAGATTAAATTAGCAGTTAACTTAGGCACACAAGAAGTCTTAGGAAGGAGGAGAGGCTGACGAAAAAATGTCTGAGGGGTAAGGTTTAAAAGACTGACCAAAGAAAGCCTAATCATGTGATTTGAGGCTCAAGAATCAATAATCCATATATGAGAAGGAGATGAGCATAAGTAAGTAGACTCATGTTCCATACCAATAACAGAAAAAGTAGAGGAAATAGTTGAAGACATGAGTTGGCAAATCTTTTCTTCAATAGGTGAACCCCGAGAATCAGTCATGGGAGCTGAAGTATAGTAAGGACCATCGGATGGTTCAGCCGAGATCTGAGAAGGCTTATGTTGGCCTTTCTTAGGGGGGTCTAGTTGGACATTTGGCAATAATATGACCTTGTTACTTGCAATAGGTACAAAAATTTTTCTTGCAGTGGGATGTAACATGACCAAAACCGTTGCACTCATAGAATTGTACCTTTGAGAAATCTTTCTGTCCCTTTTGTTTGGTAGCCTGAAAAAGACTGCATCTATGCCGTGTTCTTTCTTGGTATCATAGTGGACCGAGTAAGAAGTCGAATTTCCTCTCTTAATAAAACTGAAAATGGAATTTCCAAAGTGCATAGTTGTTGCTATCAAACATGACAAAAATGATTCTGGCTTTCTCAAACCCCATAATCAATAGAAAAAAACAGGTAGAGATTAGAACAAGTAGTGCATACACAAAGAACAGGTAATAGTGCTGCAAAAGATGCAAGAAAACCCTTTGTAGCCCAGAGAAACTATTTAAACTACTAAGGTATATAGTAACAGTGAGATCAGAACTCCCTCAATACTTGATCAAAGCTGGTGTGATTTTCAGAGAATGTAAATCTGAACTGGGTACACCCTATGCAGTTTTACCACAATCCGAGATCTACGAGGGATTTAATCAAAACTTCCTTGCTGGATGTGCTAAACAGAGTAGATTGGCTTTAAGGTTGACCAAAACACCACCAAAGCCAATCTCAGATCAATAGGAAGAACAAATACTGAATTTTGACTCTGAAAGAATGTATCAGAGAGCAACCTGCTTTGATACCATGTTAGTTTAGGCAAGATATGAAACACAAGAGAATAGAGACTGTTCGGTTTGTCTGTCTTACTCAATGCAACCCAGAAATGTTATATTTATATTAAATGGTAAATGGACAAGATTATCCTTACAAAAGAAGTAAAATACAGGACTGTACAAATCAGTACTTTTGTGTACATGCCCAATAATGTACAAACAAGAAGAAATAAAATGACAAAGATTCCAAACGCGTGTCTAAGCAGATTCTATACTTGACTATTTTCTCCTATAAGATTCCAAACGTGTTTGAAATGGGTCATCATAGCTAGACTTTCTTCAGTCTCCCAACGACCTTAATACGTTCCCCTCCCATAAGTTAAGAACCCTCAATATATCCATTTAGCATACTACCTTGTCACTGAAGTGCATAGCAACATCTTGACATTGGTTATATGGTTATTTTGTTACAAATATGATGTATAATGTTTTAATGGTTCAAACTATTCTAGTTCAGAGACAGAGAGAGAGAGCAAGAAGAGAGAAGGAGAAGAGGAGGAGAAGAGAAACTGTCAAACTGAGAAGAGAAGGGTCTTTGCCAATCGACCAAATACTTATATGTTTACTAAATCCGGGTACAATGTCCAATATGCCCCTACTTAAGTGTGGGACATGTGACTTAAAAAGAAACTAAATTGTTAAAACACACCATAACATATAATGAAAAGACAAAACTACCCCTACTTAGTAGACTCTAACACTTCTAGTTGTAGTATGTTATGATCCATTTGTCCCACGTTGGTAGTATGGGATACTAATGTGAGGTATCCCACATCGGTAGTATGGGATGCTGTTGTCGGATATATATGTGCTTGGGTTCCCTCCCTCTAACAGCTAGCTTTTAGGGGTGAGTTCTCCTAAGGCACACATCAAATGGTATCAGAGCTTACACTATACCTCCCAATTGCAATTGTGTGGCACTGGTGGTGACGTCGGTATTGCAGTGTTCAATTGGGACTAGGTGGACTAGTGCAAAACCAGCTTGCGTGGGCATTGGGATTGCAAAGCATGGTGGAATGCTATGATCCATTTGTCTTTTCTTGGTAGTATGGGTTACTAATGTTAGGTATCCCACATCGGTAGTATGGGATGCTGTTATGGGCTTTATATGTGCTTGGGTTCCCTCCCTCTAACAGCTAGCTTTTAGGGGTGAGTTCTCCTAAGGTACGTATCATAGTACCTCTTCCTCTATCACGTGCTCCCCTTGAGTTGTGACCTCCACCACTTCCACAACCATGACCAAACATAGGGGTACCACAACCTCCTTGAATCGCACGACCTCTACCTTTATTTCAACGACCTCCTCCCCTTGCGACAACACCTATTCAAGAGTAGAAAAGACAGATCCACCCAATATCTATCCTTTGACTGGTTCTTATACCGACTCCCTTAGCCGACTCTAACGTTTATTGGGAATTGTCCTTGTTGAGAGCCAATAATAACGAATTTTGCATATAAATTTGCATAATATATATGCTATATGATTCTTTTTGTATATATGAAACATGATATATAACACAATAATCTGGGTATTATAATATATATGCCATGTGATTTGTTTTTTTATCATAGAGTACAAAGATGTGAAACAAAGGTGTTAAACAAAGGCCGTCTCTAGATTGTTGCCTAGGCATTGCATTGTTAACCATGGACAGACCTGTGTGGTATTTGCAGATTTATGAACCATACATCCATTTGTTGAAATAATCCTCTCCTTCACATTATGCTATAAAAAAGTTGCAGTAGATGATTATTTGAACTTTGTGAATTCGTTCATTTTGTTAACTTTTTCATCATGGGAAGGAAATACTTTTCTCTGGGTTTAATTTTTGAGGAATTTATGAAGAGAAACCACTTCAAATCTGTGAGCTTTATTGGATTGCATCCTCCTAGGGTAGTTAATTGTATTTCCTAGGGTTGAATATTTTCACATTTTTGTTTGCCTTGTTATGAAATCTATTGTGTGGTCTCGTTCCCTGGTTACTTTATGATTGCATCCCTTTCCTTTCAGTTCTATCTTAATAAATGATAGTTTGCCTGAAGACCCCAAGAAATGTCCTTTATGCACATTTTTCTCTGTTGCCCACCCATGGGGAGGTTCTCATTTGATGTCATGTAGTAAAATAAATATTTTCTTAGATTGTCATAGGTTCATTATTCTCATACATGTGCATGTTCTGGTATTTTTTATGTCCTAATTGTTTTGCTTTGTCCAATTTCCTTATTAAAAGGGAAAAAAATATGCAGATTTCATGTAATTTTTATCATCAACACATTTACTAGTAATATGGGCTATAAACAATTTCATATTCTGCATGTGGTTATTTCAACAAAAAACATCTAACTTATTTATTTGGATTTAAACTTTTTCAGTGGCTTGCAAAAAACATTAACAAGAAAATGGATAAGTCAACATTTCTCAATGGAGCTAGTTCTTCTATAGGTATGGTAAGTCTGTCTTATTTTTCATCTATGATAAATTCTTTATTTAATAAGTCGATCATTGTTCTAGGTGCAGATAAGAGTTCAGTTGGACTAGCTACCAATCTAAAGATATCTGCATCATCTGCAAAAGTTGTTTACCCAGATACCACTCAGATGGTGATTTATGATCCAATGCAAAAATCTGGTATGTTCTTTCATTATATACTAATTTGGGGTATTATTTTCTCTCTTGCACATTGTCATGCATCATCATTATCATTGTAGTCATCCATGCCTTATTCCGACTATATGGGGTCGGCTACATTAATGTGACACTAGAGTGCCTATATGGGGTTGGCACATAGTTTTCAAGGCGTCTAGGCAATTTTGGCTAGCAATTCTCTTTAATAAGAACTAAAGAACCTTAAATAAACTCTAAAAATGTGGCAAATCATCATATCTAAAAGATAGAACTCCTTTATATATATTACTTTCATTATTTTCTAAAATAATACTACTATAATGAGTATTTTAATTGTGCAATTTTATATCAATTCACAGCTAAAGAAGGTTATTAGCTTTATATGATAAATATTCAAGATGGAGTTTCTGCTTTATTTAATTGGAGAGAGAGAGAGAACCTCCATATAGTTATTCTTTCTTTCCTTCCTTTTTCTTTCATTTGTTCTTTTTCTTTTTTTTTTCTGATCAGAAACACAGAAGCGATTTCATTAATAAAAAAAAGGCATAAGTACAACAAGAGGATGAGAAAAAAAGAAGAAAGCACAGCTATGGAAAGCTGACCCCTCCCTTATATTACAATTGAGCCCAAAACAATTAGGTCCTGTGTACCCCTTGCTTAGCTAGACCATCTGCCAAGCTGTTCGCAGTTCTTCTCACCCACTTAACTCTGATGGTCAAGTCCTTTGCTAACCATTTAAAATGCCTGAAATTATTCTTCAAGTGCCATGTCACCCCCACTCCTTCCTTTAGCCATTTCACAACAGTTCTTGAATCACCCTCAATGACTAGGTTATTGATGCCCAACTCCTTTGCCTTCTTGACCCCATATACTGTAGCTAACAGTTCTGCTCTTGCCACATCATGCTGTTCAGCAGGTCCTGGGTATAAGGCTATGATGTTTCCTTCCTCATCCCTAATTACCCCCCTATGCCTGAGGGGCCCGGGTTACCCAAACAACTCCCATCAAAATTGAGTTTCTTCCAGCCACATAATGGTGGTAACCACATCTCAGTAGGTTTCTGTCTTCTAGAAGATGAACCAGCAATAACAGCCCAGGCCCTAAAAAAGTCTTCAACCTTATATTCTTGAATTTCTTTCCTCCCAAACTGTCCATAGTATCGCTGCTCTCGTACATCTCCCCAGGATCCTTCCCCTCCTTTTAGTACAGCTAAAAACAGGAGGGTGAAACAATCCTTCCAACCTGTCAGGAGAGACCAAAAGCATCCAAAGAGGGAAAGAAAACCAATTCCAAATAAAGCTAGCAAGAGGGCAGGAGATAAGGAGATGAAAGGCAGTTTCATCACTTAACTTATACATAATGCACTAGCTGGGGGACAAACACCAAGTTGGTCTTTTTCTTTGAAGCAAGTCACAGGTATTAATACAGCCATGAAACACTTCCCAACAGAAAGCACTGATTTTCAGGGGAATGGGAAAGCACCAAATTTCCTTAACTGGGAAAGGAGAGGAAGAAGTGGCAACCAAAGAATTAACGAAAGATTTATAAGAGAACAGACCATCAGAGTTTAGGCTCCAAACCCTAGAATCCATACTCCCTTCACCCAAACACACTGAATTCAACAAGCCAAGCAACTCAGACATTCTAGGAATTTCAGCTTCTCTAAGATTCCTAATAAAGCTAAAGTTCCACTTCAACTTAGAAGGATGAAATTGTTGGGTCAAGAAATCAGATATAGGTCTACACTTAAATCTGGATAGGCCACAAGGAGCAGAAAATCTCTCATCCAAAGGGGCATCCCCAATCCAAACATCCTCCCAAAACCTAATTTTTTGACCCAAAGCCAAGTCATACCTGACATGATTTAGAAATGTAGGAAGAATCCCATCCATTGCTAGATATGCCGTGAATGCTTGCAACTACTTTGTGCCATAGCTTGTCATTCTCATTAGGGAATCGCCAGAGCCATTTGCCAAGCAGAGCCATATTCTTTAGCTTGATATTACCAATTCCCAACCCGTCTTCAGACTTTAATTTCACCACCTTGTCCCATCTAACCATGTGGTCCTTTTTCTTTTCCCCTGGCTCCCAGAGAAAGTCCATCATGATTTTTTCAATTTTCCTCACTATCATGTAGTACATTGGAAGGCTTGCAAGGGTGGAATTAATAAGAATTAATCTCTCCCCATCGAGATATAGTTCCTTTTCCATCCAGCCAGCCACTTCTTAATCCTCTCCACCACAGGGGTCCAAAAGCTAGTAGATCTCAGGTTGTCACCAAGGGGTAAGTCTAAATATCTCAGAGGCCACTCACCCCTCTCACAACCTAATGCGCTTTCCATGTCTTTTAAAACATCTTCTTCTACATTGATTCTAGCAATTAAACTCTTAGACCAATTAACCCTCAAGTTAGACAGCCTCTCAAAGAGTTTCACCACCAATTTCAAAATTTCCACCCCTTCCCTATAGTCACGCTCACAAAAGATTAGAATATCTTCTGCAAACTGCAAGTAATATTGTCCCTCCCAATTGGCCAACCTCTGAATAATTGCAGGGAGTTTGCTCTAGAGATCAACTTACTCAACCCTTCAGCTATCAAAGTGAAAAGAAAAGCAGTGAGAGGGTCACCTTGTCTAAGCCCACGAAATTCCTCAAAGAAATCAGCCACCATCCCATTAATAATAATAGAGTAATGGCTAGACTGTAAGCAACCTCTGATCCATTTACACCTCAAGTTCCCAAAGCCACACCTCATGATATCAATTAAGAAACTCCAATCCACCAGGTCGTAAGCCTTCTCCAAATCCAACTTGATTGCCACTCCGTTTTTCTTTAATCTCCTTTGAGCCTCCACACATTCATTCGCAATTAGAATCTGATCAACTATCTGTCTATCTTGTACAAAGGACCCTTGAGATTGTGAAATAAGTGGGGGAATCACCTTCTTAATCCTCTAAGACAACACCTTTTCTATTACCTTGTAGATACTTGTGATTAGACTAATGGGTCTGAAGTCCCCTGGCTGTTTAGCATATTCTTCTTTGGGACCAACGCTTTGAATGTAGAGTTCATACCCAGAGTTCCGGAGTAATCCTTTATGCCACTCTCTGGAGATATCCACACTTTTTCATTTCATTTTTTAACGGTGGGAGAAATAACATCAAAACATAAATCCTTGAAGTTGAATGCCTGTCCTCCCTCAAAGAGGGAATCTAAATGGAGGTTGTCATTGCTATCCAAGCAAGCTTCAACTGTACCTTCAATGCTTCCTATGCTCGAAGCGTCATCAGAGGAGAGATCTTCATCTGATACCTCACAGTCAATTCATTGTTCATCCACTTCGAATTCATTCGCGAGGGTCTCGCTTAACCCACTGCAGTTGAGGCGAGTTTTCCCTTGAATGACTGACTGCGTTTGACAGAGAAGATGATAGACCGACGTAATTGTCTCCCTTCGCCCCAGTCTTGCTCCCACACATGCCATTTAAGTCATCACGTGGTGGCTTCCTATATTCTGGTTCAGCCACATGGGTCACCCCTGGTTCAATAGCTGGCCCTTGCTTCTTATCTCCTCTTCTTAAAGCTTCTACGTAGGGTTTTCCTACACTAATTTCAGCTGAAATTCAAAAACATTTGAACAGCCCCATATTAAAGGAGAGATGGAGCTGAAAATTTTATAATTTGATGGTCCACCTTCTAGAGTAGGAAAGCCGGCTAACTGCTTGGGATTTTTTCGATCTTTTAAATCACGTGGCTGCCAACTATTCGCGTCACTGTCATCTTCTTCCTGTCTTCCTTGCTTCCACAACAACGATTCGACTTCAAGCACTAGCCAAACTCTTCGCCATCGCCCATGGGAAAGAAATTCAACTGATCTTGGAATCCTTTCTGGCCTTGTACCAGTAATTTTGATCTTTTAAATTTGAATAGTAAAACATTAAAACAATGTATAAATGATATATGGTATATAATAAACTGTATTAACACATTAATAAGATACAACAATATAAATACTATTATATAAGGTGCCCACCTTGTCATTTTGGTTGCCTTGGCGGGCACCTAGTTGCCTAGTTGCTATCAGTTAAGGTGTTTGGCTGAGGCACCCAGCCAAAGGTGCCTTGTCACCTATGTGATGCTTTGACAACTATGTAACTACTTTTACCCATGTCCCTTTTGGTCTTCCCCTAGCCCTTCTATTTCCTTCAACTTGTAGCAAATCACTTCTTCTAATTGGTGTTGTTGCTGGTCTTATATGCATGTGAGCAAATTATCTTAGTCTACTTTCTCTCATTTTATCACCTATTGGGGCTACTCCTAGGTTCCTATGAATAACTTCATTCCTAATCCTGTGCTATCTAATTTTTTTTGCTCATCCATCTTAGCATTCACATTTCTTCCAAACTCGTTAGCACATTTTCCATGTTCATATAATTCACATTTTTTAACATCCTTTGTAGTTTTATATTTTTCCTAGATTTCTGCATTTCTAACATATGTTTGTTTTAATTTGATTATATTTTGAACCTCTTCATTCTTTGTACTTTTCCACTAAGTTTTAATTTGATTATATTTTGAACCTCTTCATTCCTAAGACATCCTTTGCTACTTTCTTTTTGTTGTTTGCCATTTCAAGCCAAGTATCACTATTCATTCCATCTAAATACCAATTCCCTTGTATTATTAACTTGTTACTAAATTGAGCTAGCTTTTCTCTTTTTAGGCTTTTCCACCTAATTCTTGGGTACCTATTTTCTTCCCCATTTATCTTTCATTTCCTAATGAGCTTATCTTCCACCATTAGTCTATGTTGTGTTGTTGAGCTTTCTCCCAGAATAACTTTGTAGACTTTACATATCATTCTTTCTGCTCTCCTAGTAAGGAAAATATCTATTTGACTTATTTTCAATTCACTTTTAAATGTTGTTAAGTGTTCATCCTAGTAAGGAAAATATCTATTTGACTTATTTCCATGTCATAAGCTACTGCAAAATCTAATATTGTACCTCCTTATTCATTCTTCTCCCCAAACTCAAATCCTCCATGCACCACATCATATTCTACACTTCCTTACAAGACAATTTAAGTCTTCTATAAAAATCTTCTCTTCATATGGAATTTCTTGGATTAATGCTTCTAGGTTTTCCCAAAATTGTCCTTTAAAGTTTTCTTCTATACCCACTTGTAGTGCATAAGCACTAATTATGTTAATGATTGTCTCCCGGATCTCCCCTAAAACAAGTCTAATTAAAATTCATAACAAATTGTGAAGGAAAAGTAGAATCTTGTCCTTGTAAAGCAAAAAAAGCGTAATTTAATCAAAGAATAAAAAAAACAGAAAGACAAAAAAATCTGGTTTGACCGCCATTTTGGAAGACAATGAAATCTCCCTTTGTTATCTTTGACCATAACTTTGGAGAGTTGAAAAAAAAAGAAAGCTAGGTGTGAGTAGTATCACAACTATGGTTGAAAGGCTGGCACTGTTATGATAGTCTTAATTTTGGAAACACAAGTAGAGTGCAAGAGAAAGGGAATAATAATAAGACTCAGGAAGACACTTTTAGGGTGAGAATTGAATCGGAACTTGGAGAATATTTTGATATCTAATTTGTCCCTCTAAAACTGACTCGACTTCTTTCTGTCATCAGGGACCCCCTATTTATAGACAAAAAGGGGAGTCAGTTTCATGTGCACGTTTATCAAATTTCCAGAAATTTCACTCGTCAGTTACGAATGTGGATCTTGAGCCCATTAAGATGCTGACATGTGTCAGATTGCGATTCACGGAGCAGATTCGCTCTACTCCATGTTCGCAGACTCTTACCACATTTCACGGCATCACGTTTGAGGGGACAAACTCTGACATCGTAACTATCACCACCGACGTTTGTCTCTCAAGTAGTGTCTTTTGCTTTTTAGCAAATCCGTATTTTGTGTGTTTCTCTATTTGACATGTATCCGCGGTTTAGAGATTTACTTTCATTTCGCTTAGTCCGCAGATTCTGTTTAAGAGTCTTTAATCATTAATCTGCGGTGATACTTAGGTTAATCCCCTTGCAATGGTAAATCGTTGAAAATCTTAAAGAATAAAAAGTCTTTCCATAAGGAGGTAGGATGCCATATATAGTATTCCTACTTAGAGTTCTACACTTAGGACCCTTGAAGACAATGAATGAATCAAATGACCCATTCTTTTTCTCCTCTTGACTGGCCTTTTTAATTTAATCCCATCAAATGAGTTAAAGTTCAAATGGGCTATCAGAAGTGAGATTATTATGTCCAATCGTAATTGGGACCCTTTTCAGCCAACTCTAACAAGATAAAAAATAAGGGCCCACTTGATTACATCCAGTTTTGGATACTAAAATAGGGGGGAAGGGACTCCCTATTTGAACCTTCAAGGGCCCATTGCTTCATTACCATATTTGATAAAAAAAAATAATCAATGCAAAATCAGTTAGAAGTAGTTAAAATTAAATCAATAAAGTTGCAGTACAACAAACCCAAGACTGAAATTGGTTGGTAAAAACTTAATATTAGCACAGACCACAATGAAATGTGGTCTTTTGTTTTTTCAGGAAATTCAGGTCAAGAAATGAAGTAGGGTGCAACAAAGAATTCATAGATATATCAAAGATCTAATTCATGGTTCTAAAAAGGGATAATTTTAATGGAGTAAAAGAATCCTGCTCAAGCTAGGATTCCTCCACGAATCCTACCTCAATCAGGGCATTCATTTCATGAGCCTACAAAATAATCATCTTGAACAAAACAAATTATGATCAAGATTTAAAAGTGAATCAATGGTAGTTTAATAAAATTGAAGAGTCTTTCTTCAACTAGGACTCTTCTAAGTTCTAATTATAAAGATTTTGCGATTAGCCCTCAATATATTCAAATCAAATAATATAATTAACAGAGTCAAGTATAATGAAATATTAGGATCTCAAGAACCCTAGTTGAATTAGGACTTATTAATTTAACAAGATGAGTTCTATAAAGCCTCATCAAAGCAATTGAGCAGTTAAGTTCTATCAGCTTTTGTTTAATGAGAGATACTGCAAGAGTCCTAATCAGAGCAGGGCCCTTCTAAGAGTCCTAGTCATAGTAGGACCCTTCTATTTCAAACTCAATTCCATTCTAATAATAAAACATCCATAAATTTGACTCTAATTGTATATTTGAGCACTGTAGGCTCATATTCTAGGCCCATAATGCTCAAGGTGGTATTGTTGAAGGAAAATTTTTATCAAACCTAAATAGAGTTTAAATAATTTATAACCCAAATAAGTGGGTTGGCTAGTGCATTAGCTAAAATCATCAAGGTCAGGTATCCTTTACCTAGAGGCAGAGGGTAGTTGCATAGCTACCCCACTCCCTATTTAATCTCCTTAGAGGAAAACTAGAGAGCCTCTTTGGAGAAAATTGTCTCATAGCATACCACTCCTAGAGATTCTTAAGAAAAGCCAAAGTAAAGAGGTAAGAAAAGAGAAGTTCTCATAAGAAAAAAAGGGGGAGGACAGGGAAGAGAAAAGGAAATCCAATTAACATAGGTGGGTGAAGGGAACTTCTCTGCAAATACCTCCTATATGTGTTTTTGTATAAAAAAAGGAGAGAAATGTGATGTTATGTTGTTTCTCGATTTTATCTTTTTTACATTCCATTCTCGTATACTTGAAGTATGTAAAGAAATGCAAATGGAAGTTTCTTTTCAAGATCCCTTCGGCTGGGTCCTGGTATGGAAATATTAATTCGTCAATATCATTTTCTATTGCACGGATGTATCACTGTATTTAAAGTACATCTGTTATTTTACAGCCTACATTATAATTTGGAGTACTGAAAGGATTCTGCTATAAAAATACTCAGACAGCTTATCAACTATGATAAGATAGGATACCCACCAAGACAGAATATTAGCAGATGTATCCCGTGGAATGGATTCATTTAAGAAACACATTTCTTTTGTTTCTTCTAGAATGGCTTTTTGGTTTTAATTTTATTCTCAAACTTTTTTGTTGGGGAGATGTTTGACATCATTCTATTCTGTTGGGAACATGTTTGGTGTCATTCCAACAACCAAAATTGATCTCTGATGGTACTTAGAGACACGTAGAAAAGAGTTAGTTGACTGATCACTTTTGTAAAATATCTTTATAGATTTCAAGGGCCACTTTAACAACTTTATGGATTTGGGTGAAAGTTTACCATAATGATGCAATTTTATGAATATAGTTTTCTTTCAGTACTCACATTATTCATTTCATCATGTGTAGGTGCTGGATTGCTTCCAAATATTACTGCACCTGGGCTCCCATCTCTTTCTAGCTTAACTTTGGCTCCGGCTATGGCTTTAGTTGGCAGTGGAACAAAGGCACTTGATGAAAATCTGAAAGCAATTCCACCAGCATTGGTAGCATTTATAGCACATTTGCCTGCTGTTGAGGGTACTCTCTCAATACACAATTCTTGTTATAGCCATTCAATTGTAATCTCATCTACTATTTGACTGATAATTTGTCTTGTATATTAGAATTAATAACTTTAGAAAAGTTAATATCACCATTTTCACAAAGAAAGTGACGTGTGTTGAATAAGTCAGTGCTATCCTAGTACAGTGAAATGCTTTGTTGTGGATTTTGATGTGCATATAGAGTTAATGTAAATACATTTTTCATTTTTGAAGACCAATACATATTTTAAACTTTATGCTCATTGATAAAACTGTCAAAGGACAATATTGTCTGGTTATTCTCTTAATTTACTGCTAAATTATTTTATAGGTGAATCAACCATTGAGAAAGGGGAACTTTCAAAATTCAGAGGTTTGTTTGAATGTTTAGTTGAACCACCTAACCTCTGAAAAGTAGAAATTTCAGATTTCAGGGTCAATCTTGGATGATTTGAGTCCTACATTAGTCAGTAATGGAGCATTTGGCTCTACATCAATTTGGTATTAGAGGTCTCACTCCTAAATCACATCCCTATCAATGAAACTCTTGGTGTAGAAAGGATTCGTGCAATGATTTAAAAGGCGTGCCTAGGTTCCAGGCACAGCAGTTTCAAAAGGTGTGCACCTGGGGCACCTTGCACTTCAACTCAGGTGCATGCCTTTTGAAAATTCGTGCATTTTTCTGATACCAACTTATAAAGATAAATTTTCTCCATTTGCTAATGTTGGTCATTCATTCATCCTAAAAAAAGATATTTTAAAAGACAACTAAAGTTATGAAATCTTTTTTTATTGGGATTAAGAATTTAAGACCATGATATAGACTTGTTTGGGCTTGCCTCAAGGGGCTTGGTACAAAGGTGGATCATAGAATGAGGAATGCATAATATTTGACATCACATTAACTATTTGAAGTAATGCAATTTGAAAAAAAAATAAAGTGATTAAGAGTTTACGTCCTTGAATTGGTTTTATATGTTATGCTTGATTTTATTTTTAAATTTTCATTTAAATATGTTTTATGTGTTATGTTTATATTCTTTTAATTTGAGATAATAGATTTATAAAATATTTATTTTGAAATCTGAGTTTATATTTTTAATTAAGATTGTGTTTAATATTTTTAATATTTTGCATTTTTTTAAATTTTTTTGGATTTGTTTTGGCAATTTTTGAAGTTTTTAGCAATTCTTGCATTTTTGTGCCTTGCTTCAAAAAGGTGTATGCCTCGCCTTGCACCTTGTGCCTCGGGTGCAAAATGGCCCTTGTGCTTTTTAAGCGTCTTGCACTTTTAAAACAATGGATTCATGGGTGATAAAAAAAATAAAGATCATTTAAAAGGTTAAAGTTTCTGGATTGACCCCTGAAATCTGCTCATTTAGCTTGAAGGAATCGTTCAATATTTATTTAGCTAAATTAAACTTGTATTATGAATTTATGATTACCACAAAAGGGCTTCTTTTATCCTATTTTGCATCTGTTTTTTTTTCTTTTGAACCTTGTTTTGCCTTTCTGATCATACCCTTTGTAAAACACCAGGACCATCACCAGATGTCGACATGGTGTTATCAATTTTGCTACAGAATAACATATCAACTGGTCAAACTGGGAAGTCAGCAACTTCCACACAATTATTGCTAACTGGCCCTGCACCAAGCACAAGTGACCGTTCTGGATCAAACAAATCTCGTCCCAATCCAAGTGGTTTATTGTTGAAACCAAACAGAGATGGGCAGTCTCTCAAAAGAAAAGATCATGACAGTAAGTTATTTTCCTTCTTGTATTCTTCTGTGAACTTTTATCCTGCTTTTACACACGGGAAACATTTATGTAAATAAGTATTTATGCATGTGTGTCTGTATGTGTCAACTGAGTAAATACTTAATGGGTACCAATGATCTCTGAGCTTGATTCAGTTGGGTAATTTTTTGTGGTGTGTGCATGTGTCCATATATAACCACTAAGAAAACTATCTACTTTGTTATAGGATTCTAAGATGGATATCCTGCCTTCCTACATTCACTTGGTTGGTAATGCAAGTAGAGGACTACTGTTAAAAAGAAAGGAAATAAAAGACCATCAACGACACCCATAAGAAGTGATTTGTTGCTAGTTTAAAAGGGCTAGGGGTAGATTTAGTGAAAAATTATTGGTGTTAATAATTTAACAATGGATATGGCTTTAAACAGGAATGGTAAAACAGGATTCATTTAGCTGACCTCATATAGTTAGGTTAAATTTTCAATGTTGATGATAATGTTAAAAGGAAAGGAAATAGTGAAGAATATTACAATATTTTTAGATATGAAATTAGAATTTGTGGCTATGAGGACAGCCTCAAGAAAGCTTAGATCAGCTCTGATACCAACTTATAAAGATAATTTTTCCCCATATTTGCTAATGTTGGTCATTCATTCATCCTAATAAAAGATATTTTTAAAAGACAGTTAAAGATATAAAATCAGCAATGCATAATGTTTAACATCACATTAGCTATTTGAAATAATTCATTTGGAGAAAAATTAAAGAGATTAAGAGTTTTATATGCTTGACTATGTTTTATATGTTATGCTTGATTTAATTATTAAATTTTCATTTTAAATATGCTTTACATGTTATGTTTATGTATTTTATTTGAGATAATAGTTTTTTAAACTTATTTTAAAATTGAAGTATATATTTTTAAGTAATATTATGTTTATCATTTTAAATTTTTTGCATTGTTTTTTTTTTTGAATTTTTGCACCTTGCTTCAAAAGGGTGCACGCTTTGGGTGCAAAATGCCCTTTGTGCATCTTTTGTGCCTTGCACTTTTAAAACACTGTGCATGAGAAGATACAAGGGTCTGATGACCAGTTTTTCCTTGCCTGATTTTTTAGGTTTTTTTTACGAGTTTTGTTGCCCAAGCTTTGGTCTTAGAGTTCAGCCTAAAAACAGGAAGAATTGGTGAATATAGGTGGATCAATCCTATTATTGCATCTCTTTGAAGGGATTGATCATACCTACTGCAGTTGAAAAGTTTCTTTGGTATTCTCATTGAGCTCGATTTAAGCAAAGGGTGTTCTGAACCAATGTTTTACAAGGTGTTGGATGCATATGCCTAGAGGCTACTCCAGACTAGGTGCCCCCGAAAGGCCTTTAAGCGTATGGTAAAGGCATTGAGCCAGGCATTGATGCTTAGTGGTGTATGCCTCAGGTGCATGAGGCATGCTAGTGGTGTATGCCTCAGGTGCATGAGGCATGCTAGTGGTGTATGCCTCATGCTCCCCATGCACACCTTATGCAAAAAGATAGAAAGAAAAAAGAAAAGGAAATGAAAGGAAAAGAAAAGGAAGGGAAAGAAAGAGAAGAAAAAAGAGAAGAAAAGGGAAGAGAAGAAAAGAGATGGGAAAGAAACACAAAAAAGAAAGATGAGATCTTCCTTCCTCTTCTTCTTCTTCCTCCTTCCCCTCCTTCCTTGCCCCCATCCCCCCCTTCGCTTAAGGAGTCTTGCACCTCTTACATTATGACACCTCATACCTCTAGGTAGTGGAATGCCTGCACCTCTGCATTTTAAGACATTGTTCTTGACTGTTTTTGAAAGATCGCCAGCTTTATTTCAGGTTTTTGGTGGTTCTCAGGTTGGTACTGTAACTCTGTGAATTATATTGCTGATTCTTGGGGTGGTTTTCATCTTGGGAAGTTAAGATAGATTGCTTAAGGCTGCTTCCCAGTGTGTTTGAAAAGGGATAGATGATCCTCAGGATGATCAAAAGATAGACAATATGATCACTACTGTGAGGCTGGATGGATGAAATTATTTACAATGGGCCAATCTATGAAGATTGGAGTTGAAAGTCATGGAGAACTGGTATATATTACAGGAGACAATATTCAGGAGAACTATATAGTGATGTTGTCATGCTTAATTCAATGCAACCACACATCAGTAAGAATGACAAGTTCTTGAATACAACTAAGGAGATTATTCATAAAAAAAATACAACTTAGGAGATTTGGGACACTATCTGTGTCACTTATTCTCAGCCTGTAGTAAGGGCATACTAGCTGAAGACCTGAAGCTTCAAGTGAATAGTTTGAAGAAAGGAGATATGCCTATATCGTTATACTCTTCCACTCTTCAGGGGTTATGGCAAGAGATAGATCACTTGGGAACAGTGAGTTTGGTAGATAGTTGAGATGAACAAAATTTAAGCTTCTAGCTAGTTTAAATCCATATTTTTACATTATCAGACAACACATCCTTATGGTTAAGGATATAACTTTGGCATAGGCTTGCTTACTCATTAGTCTATAGCTAGGAAAGTAGAAGTGTGATGCTTAAGGTCCCCTAAGACTGATTCTGCAGCATTGGTTACCAATAAACAGTGGAATGTTGGAGACGGGGAGCAATGGTGAAACTAAAAGGGATCTGAGTTCAGCCTAGCGTAAAAGAAAATAGTTGCTTGAGCTCAGAAATTTGCAAGTTTGGTTGGGCTGGTCTAGCTCATAAATGATCAGCCCCAAGTAGGAGCTTCATGACATTTCCAATTGAGTCATTGTTATTTTTATTATTTTTATATGGAATGCAAATAGTTTGTTTTATTACGTTTTATAATTTTTTACGTTTTTATTATTAACTTTAATATTCTATTAATATTAGTTATTTTAAATGGAATTGAAATGTATTTTAATTTTTAGTGTCTATATTTTTATTAACTTCAATTTTTATCAATTTAGTTATTGCATTTTAAATTATAATATTATGACAATTAACCAATTAAATGGAATTTGAATATGAAACAAGAAGTGGAATTTGAATGAGTAAAACTCTCTCTCTCTCTCTTTCTTTATGCATTCAAACTGTTAGAATGCCAATATTTGCTACAACTCACTCATTTCTGGTTATGTTTGTAATATGACTTTGAATAGAAAAAAAAAAGCCAAAAATTGAAGAAAAAAAGAGAAAAAAATCACACCCTCCCTTGTTTTAGATAGATTTCTAGTTAGGTTTTCTGTGATGCATGGGCTTTGTTAAGAGCATTTTGTGTTCAAGCCAAGCATTATTTTTGGGTGACTTATTATTCATGATATTTTTTATTAACTAATTTTTAAGCTTTTATTTGTGGAGAGGGAGATGTTAAAATGTAATAACAAACGAAAAAAATTGAAAGAAGAGAGACATTTAATTCAGTTATTGCATTTAAGGTGATAGGGGAGAGAGAGAGAGAGATGAAAACATATACAAATATAAGGAAAAAGAGAGGCATTTAATTATCTATTGTCCCAAACTCGTTGTAGAATCTCTATCTCCATTGCTGTTTTAAAAATGGTGTGGATTTAAAAATGAAAATTCAATGAAAAAGGATAAAATTAGTACGAAGTAATGGAGCAAGTAGAAGCTGTGCTGACATGGTACTTCTACCTTTGTGAATGATTTGTTTTCTTTGTTCAATTGTGTTCCTGTTTGGGGTTTAAATATTTTTCTACCTTTGTGAATGATCATTCCATATGTTTGGTTTCTTGAATCGAAAATCCTGATTGTTAAATACATTTTCTCATTATCCCCAGGGCAAGAAGATGATGAGACCACTGTTCAAAGCCGACCACTTCCTAGGGATGTTTTCAGGATCCGACAGATACAAAAGGTCCGAGGAGTCTCCACTTCTCAGACTGAATCAGCATCCTATGGAAGTGCATTTTCGGGAGAGCAATCTGCCAGTACTGAATGATGTCTTACGTATATTTTTCAGTGTATAAAGATTTCTTTATGCCAATCACTTTACATCAATGTTTTATTAGTACGTTTGCATGGGCCTGTTTTATGCGCGGGGTTTGTTAAGCGAAATTGAAATAGGAAAACCCAATCTAAGCCATCAACCCTTTTTTATGCACGGGGTGTTCCCCATTTCCCCAATCCCCGTTGGGACGTGCCCCATTGGGAATGGGGATGAAGAAAACCGTGTGCTTGTCGGGGATGGGAATGGAGAAAGCTGTGCCCCCATTGGTTCCAAAACACTTTGCATGAGCCCTAGAAACTATCATGAGTTTCAATGCTCTTAGGATTCTTCCCCTATTCATTTTAGGGTAATTTGGGACCAGAGTATAAGAATTCTATTGCTCTTGGTGTTACGGTGTTGCCTAGGGACTTGTATATGATTCTTGTCTCACTAGGACTTTATTGCTAGAGTCATAGTACTCCTAGCCAAGAGTCTTGATGGTTGATGCAAACCAATTTTTTGGGTGTGACATTCTCCTCTTATCTGAGGGTGCAGATTACTTATTGGTAATCCTTAGAATTACATCATCACTTTCATCCTCCCAACATATAGGTTATGTCAGCTACAATTCAATAGTGGCCTCACCCATAATACATTGAAGTGGCTAATCATGACACCACCCTGAAGATTCCTTAGGTCCAAGGGCAAAAAATTCCTTACATCTAAGTGATTAGGATCACTAATAGCGACCACTAGATCCTATGATGGATCAGACCCAATTGGATCAATATCAATGTGTATAAGAAACACACCAACTTGGTAGCCTAGACTCTAGAGAGACTCACCCCGTTAGTTGAGATATCACTATTAATTGTCCATATGCTAACCATAAAATAAACTACCCAAGTCCACCCTTGGTTTACATTACAACAAGGAACTAAATCTGTAAAGCATGGTCTGATTACTATAGCAATTGTGTCATGCCAGGTCCGACCTAAACCCTCATGTCATGCTAGTATTATATAATTATTATATACATAGTTTTCAAGGCGCCAAGGTGAGGCTAGGGAATAGGGGGTGCCTTGTCGCCTAGTCGCCTAGGCGATGGATTTTTTTTTAAGTAAAACCATAGGGTTTACTTAGGTTCCATACCTATCTTTCCTTAATAATTAATTATCCATAATTTTATAAGTATAAATTTTATGTTTAACTCTAGAAAAACCAACATTTTATGAGAAGAAAAAGAAAAAAGAGAGAAATTTCAAAAAAAAAAATATAGGGGCTGAACTCCCACTTTTGTTATAAGAAAAAAAGAAAAGAAAAGGTGGAAGAAGAAAATGTATTGATTAAACAAAATTTTAAGTTCTTACCTTGCTTATTGGCTTAGGTTTTGGAATATCTGAGCATTCAATCAAGGATAAAAATTTCAATACAACATGCCCTGTATTGGCATATTGTATTGTATCTTTGGGGTCCTGATACACTTGTTTATAGGTATTTTCAAGAATACATCTTTTGAAATAATATATATATATATATATATATATATATATATATATATATTTAAAAATGAAATTGAAAGCCAAAAAAAAAATAGGGGTAATATCATTATAAGTATTGATACACCTTTGCCAGTACATTGAAGTGTATTGATAACCATGGATTCAATATAACAGTTAGCAATTTTTGTGTTGATTAAACCCTAACAAAAAGAAAATAATAAAAAGAAATTAGTATATAAACACATAAAATGAATATTCTAATTTAATAATGTCTGTTTTATAATTATAATTAGTTTAATCATTGATCTCTTCAACTTCTCCACTTGCCCAACCTCTTAACTAACTTGATTGCTAGAATCTCCACCATCGAGTCGCCTCAGGGCCTCGAAGGAATTGCTTGTGACCACATGTGAGAATGCCTCTGTTGAGATCCTCAGCATGACTTTCCAGTTCTAGCTATCATCATGGTTGGAACAAGCCGCAAAAATAATCAGTTTGGAACAACCAAAGTTGACCCCAACCCATTTACATAATATAGATGAATTGATTATGGAGATGGATAACATTTGAACTCTATCTTTTCAATTGCACTTGTGTTTATCTTGTAGTTATCGTCTTGTATCTCACTTTCTAATCTTCATGTATATCAATGATACATGACACTCATTGTACATACTGTATATATACTACTCAAATATTGAAATACAATGCATAGAAACTTCAACCTCTTTTCAATACAACGTTCGCAAAAATGATATACCTTTCTTCTCTCAGTGGATATAATCAATTTTCTAAGGATTTGAATGTGTGTCTATGTATATTTTGTATAAAACAATTTTGTTCAAGTTTGGAAGGAAAGAAAATAAAAGGTAGAAATGATTTGAGTGATAAATAAAAGTCAATTACAGTTTTTCCTTATATATGCAAAATCAATGAAAACTATTTTTTTTTTTGTATCTTAACGTGCAAACTCAAAGACATTGAAATCCATAGAAAATAAATGATTATATCTATTGAGATTTCTTACATTATTAGAATGAAACAGAAATGCATGTTTAAGTTAGTTTCTTCCATTTGTACAAAATTTTCCATTATATATTGAAGTGTATAAGCACATCTTGGCTTCACACAGTGTTTTATCTTGATAGAAAATTAAAACAAAATTTTCCATGGTATGAAGTTCACTTTCAATTCCTTGTCCAAACTTCTCACTACAAATGTGGTGATTTTAATTTCCAAGACTTATTGGAATTCTGATCTTTTGACGACCTTTCCATGTTGATTTGTCCCGTTAAAATCAACTCTCACACAAAGACTTTTGGTACCTAGCACACATTTGCAAAAAAAAGAAGGCTTTTGCAAGAGAAGCTATTCTTATCATTTCTTGTTATTATATCTCTATTCTATCCCAAGAAAAGTAGATTTCAAGACAGTGACTCTTACTTGTTGTCATATAACGATCCTGTCACCTGTGTGCAAGGCTTTCCAGCAGTTCTTATTACTGGATATGCCTAACAAGATATGTCTGATTTTCCCAATGCAAGCAAGGTACACAAATAAATTCATGTACGTAAGATCAATCCATCAGACTTGGGAATATCTATTATATATATACGAGACCCTTCTCCATTAATTCTCATTGTGATCGGATAATTGAAAAAAATACTGAGAGAACAATGAAGACTCCTTTGCTGTTTCTTCTTCTTCCTCTCTTTCTTTTGGCTTTGACCGCCAGATGGTCGCCGGTGATAGCCCAAGATGAACCCGAAGCTGTGCTTGACACAATGGGTCGTCAGCTCTGTTCAACAGCCACGTACTTCATCTTGCCTGCTATCTCAGGGATGGGCGGTGGCCTCAACTTTGAGAGTACCAAGAACGGCACATGCCCATTTGATGTCGTCCAAGATGAAGACGAAGAATCCAATGGTCTCCCACTGGCCTTCTCGCCGGTGAACCCCAAGGAGGAGATCATCCGTGTATTGACTGATCAGAACATCAGGTTCGCCATCGACACATTGCTTCCACAACCAACTGTGTGGAATCTTGGAGACTTCAATGAATCAGCACGTACGTTTTTAGTGGAGACATGTGGATCTATAGGAAATCCAGGTATTGAAACTCTAAGCAACTGGTTCAGGATTGAGCCATTCGACGATGATTACAAGCTTGTTTTCTGCCCTACTGTCTGCAATTTCTGCAGACCTGTGTGCGGAGACCTGGGCATTGCTATCCAGGATGGAGTCAGACACTTGGCTTTGGGCTCTGGACTCGAACCATTGAAGATCAAGTTCAAGAAGGGGTGAAATAAATCATCTCATAATCTGATCAAAGAAGCCGCATCAGTGTGTTTATGTATTAGATATACAATATATAGTGGATCTATTTTCTGATCATGAATAATAATTACTAAAAGAATGTATTATAGGATTTTCTGTGACCAACTTTCCCGCCGGTGTTCAATTTTCTGTAAGTTGTGAGTTCTACCATATGTGATATTCATCTCCCAGGTGAATAAATATTTTTTTTCTCGAAAAATTGATAATACTTTTGGGACAAAATCATCAACCTGCCTATTATTTTCTTTTGTGCCAGAAATCTTTATTCATCACTCTGTGTTGAAGGAGCCAATTAGCGAAGTTGATGGATAACAAAGCCAATAATCTTTGTTCTAATCTTTGTTCTAACAAAGCCAAAGGAAAAGAGTTAGAAATGCAAACACATGTTCTCTAACTATTCAATTCACAAATCCAATCATTTCCATTAGCATAAAAAGATAATGCGCGCTAATATCAGCACCACTCTAGAGGCATCATGCACAACCTCTTTCCTTTTCTTTTTTTTTAAATTTTTTGGAAATTGTATACAACTCACCATGATTTCATCATTTCTTTTAAACTCATCATAACATTTCAAAACGTCCAAGGAACCCATGTCTGTTACTTGAAAATAAAAGATTAATGGGTGTTAATAGATTACAATTTTACCCTTTGTTATACTTGACCCATTTTTCAGCTTTCTTGGAATACTTTCAAGCAGCAATATGAGAGCAAAACATCTCTCAACGAATAGAAATCTTATATGTAAGGCAGCTGGGCGCTTAAGGGCATTTTAGCCACAAAAATATGTTTAATGAGGCTGACTTTCCATTTAGGAGCAGTTTGGTCATTAAAATTGTATTTATGTAAACTGGACAACTTCCATCAATGTTCACTAATGATGCTCTAACCGATGGTGAGTTTTGAAAAATAAAAACTTATTGACACGGGGTTCTTTGGACATTTTGAAAAGTTATGATGAGTTTAAGAGAAATGTTGAAAAGTCATGACTCATGATGAGTGTTTTTTTTTTTTTTTGCTTATGCTATTTAATGTTTTCTTATTCTCTCTGGGATTTGAAATTGAGTATCCATTTAATGCCTAAGATTGTTGCAACTTTAAATGCCCAATATGTGAAAACAAATAATGTGTTCAATAGTTGTAACTTATTATTACAGGTGCATCTATCCTAGCATTGTATGCAACTTGAATCTAACTTTTTACAACAAACCTGATGGTGTGCGATCTGAATGCTCTTAGCTAGAGGGCAGCTCGGACGTTGGTCTGCTTTGTTGGCTAGTTGAACTACAAAAAGAGGAATGTTTAGAGGACTCAGGGTGGCTTACCCGATGTGGGTGCTCCGATGCTTAAGTTAGTACTCTGTTATGTGAGTTGAAAGCTTGTATGCTAGAAGGACACTGAGCAAATAATCGCGTGTACCTTGCAATGTTGGGGTTGATGCCATTATATAGGTGAGCTTCCGTAGGTCTTACGAAACACCTCCGAGATCCCTGCCCCCATACTACTAGGAATCCATTCCGCAATAGGAGGTGGACTTCGTGTGAGCTGATAAGGCTTATCGAGTCCGTCCGATTCGGGCAGGATGAGGATAAAGCTCATAGACGTGCAACGTTATCCTAGAGAGGTCAGAGACAGCTGGCTAGCTTCTAGAAGTTGGCTACGTGTCACCTTGGTAGGTTGGGCCCTCACGAGCTGCTCGGACCTCGGTCTTGGCCGAGGTACCCGTAATGCCTTGGCTCATTGAGGTGGCAGGGAATGTAGAGTCATCATCCAGTTAGCATATCACTTCCATATGTCCAGGTGTCGATAGGTCGTGCCAAATTACTCCTCATCAATTTCCCCCCACTCTCGTGCCAGGAGTACCTGACCTGGTATGGGAGTTCATGACAAGCCTAGGTGAATTTGGCCTGGTCTTCATCTTGGTTGAGGTCTGGTCTACGGGCCAGACTTGAATGACCCATCTGGTTCAACCACAGAGCTAGATCGCATCTTGGGAACGTGCAGACGTCACTTCGATTATAAATTCCGTGGACCTCAAAAACGCACTCAACCAAATTTGACCTCGAAAGTCGAGCGTCCACTCTCATGGGAACCGTTGGATTCGATTGATCTAAGCCGTCTATGATCGACTATGACAACTATAAATAGGGGCATTGGGGTCCCATTTTCATTGTCTTGATCTAACCTCTCGCGTTCTTGAGGTTGCATACTAGCTTCAACGTTCCAGGCCGGTCTACTTCCTTTTGGGTAAGCTGTCTTTCCTTGCTCTAGTCTTTTCTTGTCTTCGTTTCTATCTTGTCTAGTAGTGATAGTTTGTTTGAGGAGAGTGGGGGGTCTGGTCTGGTCGAGGAGGGCTCCTCGGCTCAAGATTTGAAGTCTGGTCCAGTCAAGGTGGGCACCTCAGTTCAGGACTGAAAAACCTCACACAAGAAGGCGTCACTTCACGTCATGTACATCCATCTCGGGGACCAGACTGCTTTGTTCTATCTACCATGTCACCCGAGTAGATCCGTATTTTGGCTGCTTAGTTCAAATTCCCCGACCACTATGGTTATTACCTGCCCTTGGAGGGCTTCTCTTGGGAACATGAGCACGAGGAGACAACAGTCTTCGCGAAGTACTTGATCGCCGGGCTTCGCTTCCCTCTTCACCCTATTAAAGTTCTTAAATTCTTTGACGTCGCCATCAACCAACTTCACCCAAACTCGGTTCGCACCCTGGTCGGTACAATCTGCCTTTTCCATGACCTTGACCTCCCTTTAGATTTAGATACCTTCAGCTCTCTATGCTCTATAAAGAAAAATCCAACTGGCCCTAGGAGAGTAGATAAGTACAGTTACTATATAGCTTACCGGCCTAGATACAATCTTCTTCACGAGTATCCCTCGAAGGTCCCAACCTGGAAGAGGAGATACTTCACAATTGCTGCTGAAGGGGGGTGGCCTTTCCCAACACATTGGAGGAAAGGCATCAGTGACCCCGGGGATCATCTTGATAGGAAGACGAAGAAAAATGTGTTCCCTGGTATAGCATGACCTGAGGCTAGTGGACTACTTGGCCGAGGAGAAGCTCGTTAAGGCTAGGCTGAGTCCCCCAAGTAGGTCGTCACTTCGGGCACATGTACTTTGTCTTTTAATGCTGACTTCTTTTATATTGCTTCAGCTGATCTTCTATTAGTCTTCCACAGGTATTATGACTGATATTCCCATGACTAATCTTTTCACCGACATGAAGAAGAGGAAGAGGAAGGCATCTCGAGGTGACTCTTCCCAGAAACCGCCAGTCGAGCCTGCTGCCCCTACTAAGGCGAGGAGGTCCCAATCATTAACTTGGTCGAGGTGGACCAAGAGAAGAAGTTACCACCTAACCAACCCGAGGTGGCCTGGTCTTCTGAGCTTCAGTCCTGTCATCTCAGGCCATCTCTTCAAGTGAGGGCCCCAAGGAGAGCCGAAGCGTCATGGACATCTGGGTTAGCCTCAAAAAGTGCAAGTAGGCAATTTTTTCCGAGGAGGTCTCCAAGTTTTCGAGTTGCAGACTTTCGAGCTGGGCGCAAAGGCACTAGGTCACCTCGTGGTGGTATGTCTCTGATCTTAATAATATGCTTTTGCTTAAATTTTCTATGGTACTTAGCAAATTTTTGCTTCTCATGTATACAAACTCCATGATTTACGCGCTCTTGAAGTAAGTAGTCTGAGCAGCAGGCTATGAAGGTGCAAACTGCCGAGACGGTGGCCATGGAGTGCCGGACAAAAATGGTGAAGGTCGTCGACACCATCAGAAAACTAGAGGCTGGGGTGGCGGTGAAGAGAGAGCATATTGAGAGATTGACGAAGGAAGCCGAGGATCAGAGGGATGCTTTCACTCAGCGCGAGGCCGTCCTCACCCATAGGATCAAGGACACTGAGGTCCTTGCTGTCAAAAACTACAAGGCTTCGCCGGAATTCAACTAACTTAGGTAGGACCTCAGTACCACAACCTTCCGAAAGGGCTTTACGCCTTGTCACTGGTTGGCTAGGCGTGCGTTCCTCGAGCTTGACTTCGGAGCTGTCACCACATTGGGAGTTACTATAGAGATGGTGCTTGAAGCTGACAAAGACCCAGACTCCGAGGAAGAAAGTAATGACAATGTTGACGAGGGAACTATGGAGAAAGATAGCCCAGGTGCCGATGCCGAGGAGGCCATGGACATTGATGAGGCCAAGGATAGTTCTGGAACCGTTGAGGGCGGGGGCGAGGAGTCCCATGATGATTGATCTCTACCTCTTTTGTTCGATCCCCCTATACAAACTGAAAGGGATGAGAGATCCATCATATGGATGGCTGAACCCTGCAAGCAGGTTGGGCGAAATTTAAAAAATTTATCTCTCTCATCTGGGAATCTTATTCCCTATTTTAGAAAACTGCATTTTCAAGGATCAATCTTAAAACAAACCGGACCAGATCTGAAACCAAAAGGGGAGGAGAGGGATATACCTGATACGGAGTAACAGTAACTCCCAATGAAGGTGTTCACGCCCAAGGAGAAAACCAAAATCTACTCCTACTGAAGATGACACAGTGTAGGTGAAGTAGAATCAGCAAGACAGCTCTTCAGCAAGAACCGAATTCTTCAGCAAGAATGTGGTAAAGGGCTGGTAAGCATAGCTTCAGATTGCCTCTTCTAGCAAGAAGCAATATCAAGAACGATTCTTGATCACTCCCACAGGTGGAGATCGAACTAGGTAGGGGCGGCAAGAACAGGAAGAAAATAGCAGAAGATAGGAGCAGTCAAACTGTATATTGTCTTCTCTCTTAATTCAATGGACTATGAGTTGTCTTTGGAGGTCCACCCTACTCTCCTATTTATAGCCTTAAAAGAGAGGTTGTCCTAATCCCATTAGGAGTTTCCTAATCCAAATCTTTATTTGGACCTGTACTCTCTTTAAGAGATAAGGGTAATCCCTTATCTTATCTGCAAAAAAAGATCAGCCTTCCTAATCTAATTAGGAGTTTCCTGATCCAAATCTTTATTTGGGTCTGGACTCTTTGAGTGGATAGGGATAATCTCTTATCCTATCAGCTGATGCAAATCCCAGAACTGCCCCTTATTTAATTAATCTTATAAAGCCAATTCGAATGGGCTTTAGGCCTATTAA